ACGTGCCCAAAGTCACAAATGTATTTTTTTATTTTAAATATCTCTATTTTTAAAGGTTGTACTTAAAATAAAAGTTGAAAAAGATGAAGGTTAGATAAGGCCCATCTAAGATATAAATTTGGTCTGCAGGCTTCCAGTATGTAATTTCAAGTTATACCATGTATCATGCAATCAGAAGGAACTTAAAAACAAGAAATATTCAGCACCGCTGTCCTCAGTTAGGAAATTTATTCAAATAAAGTAAAATATATTTTTAAACACTTCTAAATCAAGACTTTCAATCAAGATGGAGGCATAGGTAGACATACTTTGCTCCCTTACACAACCATAAGAAGGAACACAACTAATTTCAAAACAAACAACACCCAGAACTGACAGAAAATTGAACTGTATGGAAGTCTGACAACTGAGGATTTAAAGAAGCCATATTCATCCAGACAGGTAGGAAGAACAGAGCCAGGGAGCCGGGGTGGAGAGAATGTGGCGTGTCAGCGGAGGCGAGGAGGTGGTGGAGCCTGCAGAAAGGGCAGTCTCACATTCATGTGTGGCAGATAAAAATCAGGGGGACACCTTGTGAGGGAGCAATCCTCGCCCCAGGGCAGACCACGCAGCTCAGAGTTCCAGCACTGGGAAAATAAAGTCTTATAACATCTGGCCAGTAGAGGTTGGGGCAGTGGAAGAAACTCCTAGTTTCTCAGAAGAACCAGGAATGTATGCGAACCCACCCACTCTGGGAACCACAAACAGGACAGCAGCTGGAGGGGCACCAGTCACATATGGGAAGTGGGTGAAGTGACTGGAAATGGGAAAGTGCCAGGAAAGTCCCCCAGAAGTCAGCCAACAGTGGCACTGTCCCCTCTTCAATCCCTCCCCTACACATGAAGCTACACAGCAGTGAAGCAGGCTTCCCACCTTGGCAAATCCCAAGGCTCCACCCCATACAACTGAACAGGTGTACTGAGACAGGGAGTCAAAGTGGCTCTAACTAGTACACAGACACAGGGAGGCTGCCAAATTTAGGAGAAAAAGAAATATGGCCCAAATAAAGGAACAGAACAGAACCCCAGAAAAATAACTATGCAATCTGGAGATAACCAATCAGACGCACAGTTCAAAACACTGGTGATAGAATGCTCAGAGTTCTCACTGAACATGGCAAAAGCATTAAGGAAGAAATGAAGCCTTCACTAAGTCAAATTAAAAAAAAAAAACCCCACAGGAAACCAACAGTGAAGAGAAGGAAGCAGGGATTCAAATCAACAATTTGGAACATAAGGAAGAAATAAACATTCAACCAGAACAAAATGAAGAAACAAGAATTCAAAAAAAGGAGGAGAGTTTAAGAAGGCTCTGGGACATCTCCAAAAGGGCAAACATCCCAATCATGGGGATGCCAGAAGATGAAGAGGAAGAGCAAGAAAATGAAAATCTACTTGAAAAAATAATGAAAAAAAATTCCCTAATTTGGTGAAGGGAATAGACATATAAGTCCAGGGAGCACAGAGAATCCCAAACAAGCTCGACCCAAAAATGACCACCCTAAGACACATCATAATTAAAATGTCAAAGGTTAAAGATAAAGAGAGAATCTTAAAAGCAGCAAGAGAAAAGCAGAGAGTCACCTACAAAGGAGTTCCCACAACTGTCAGCTGATTTCTCAAAAGAAACTTTCCAGGCAAGAAGAGACTGGCAAGAAGTATTCAAAATGATGAAAAACGAGGACCTACAATCAAGATTATTCTATCCAGCAAAGCAATCATTTAGAATTGAATAGCAGATAAAGTGCTTCCCAGATAAGGTAAAGCTAAAGAAATTCAACATCACCAGGCCCTTATTATATGAAGTGTTAAAGGATCTTACTTAAGAAAAAGAAAAAGATCAAAACTGTGAACATTAAAATGACAGCAAACTCAGAACTATCAACAACCGAATCTAAGAAACAAAACAAACTAGGCAAACAACTAGAACAAGGACAGAATCATAGATACGGAGATCATATGGAGTGTTATCAGTTGTGGGAGGGAAGGGGAAAATGTGGGAAAGGTATAGGGGTTAAGAAGCACAATTGGATAGGTACAAAATAGACAGGAGGATGCTAAGAACAATATAAGAAATGGAGAATCCAAAGAACTTATATGCATGACCCATGGACATGCGCGAAGGGAAGACTGAAGGAAAGATGGGGTTTACAGGGCAGAGGGGATCAAAGTGGGATAAATTGGGACAGCTGTAATAGTATAGTCAATAAAATATACTTTAAAAAAGCTTCTAAATCAATTAGTATAAAAGTTGATTCATTAGTATTAAAGAATATTCCTTAGAGGTTTACAAACACACTATGCAAAATGTTCACTTTAATATGTACAGTGGTAGAGATAATTGTAAATAATCTAAAAAATGTAAGTTGGAACAAGTAATCAATACAACCACATTAACTTTGATAGTCAATGCTTAAACTCATGCATGAAGTTTAAACTCATGCATGAGGTTTGTAGACAAACCTTCTTAGCTCTTGATATAATTAAGTGTTGTATCAATTGTTCACTAGTAATTCAGTGTCGAATAACTGACTGGTAGTTTCAGATTTAGTCATTGGTTACCATGAAATGATGCCACTGATAAGTGATGATCCTTTGACTAGTAGATGCATTTGTTCTAGCGTATAAGATTTCACATCGGTTGAAATGACCAAACAAAATAATTGTTTATTCTTTAAGAAATTAACTTATCTGTCAATAAAACCTAGTGTGCTTGGACTCTTACTCATATTTAGAAAATATTTTTAGAGTGATTTTATATATCTGTATAAACTCTGTACTAAAATAATGTTTTTAAATTCCCTACCCTCCAAGAAAAATTAATGATAATGTGTCCCATGAAAGATGGAACTTATGTTTTAAATGCTTGGGAGACATTAGATATGAAATCCCTCTGGCAGAGGTTCATTTTGCAAAATAATGTGCTAACAATTATGAAGTTCTTCCGTAATGAATCTTATCTTTACTTATTTAACATAATAATTTTCTAGTTTATTTAAGTGAGAGGTCACTTTCTAATTGATACCGAGTTAAGCAATTTGGGGAAGGCTGACTCAGAAAAAAACGAGTTGCCCAAGTACACACAATTAATTAAAATTAGATTTAAAATTACTTATAAGATTTTCTGGTTCCAACAGAATTTTATTTAAGACATGTTTAGGATAAATTATGTGGATATTTTTTGCTCAGTTGTATGATTAAAATAAAATATCTTAATCATGCTAAAAGTCCCTTGTCAGAAGCATGTACATTTATAATATTCATCGATTCACTTATTTTCATATGATTGCCAAAGATAGAATTTCCATAAAATTAATATTTTCAAGGGAATTAAATTGTGAATGGGTGACAAAAATGAATGCTGATTTAGATATTTTCAAATGTAATCAGATTTGTGTCACAAATGGTTTTTTAAAAAAAAAAAGGTGGTTGCATCTCCACTCTATCCTCCATCTCCAGAGGACGGTTGTGCAAATTGCCCAAGAGGGACGCAACTGGATTTTAATAGACTCCAAAACTTTCTAAAGAGATGGCCTTACTTGAGGCCACAACTGTGTCCCCAGATCCAAGATGAATGTGAAACAATCGCGGACCACCATTTCTCCAGCCACCTGTGCCTCTTACACAGCAGGGAGAAACCAAGAGCTTTACCCTATTCCTTCTGTCCAGTCCATGCTGCCTTTACTTCAATTTCATTTTTATTTTTTGTCTTGTCATTCATTTATTTATTCATTCATGGAAAAGCAAAGCCTTTTCTTCCTTAGCAGAAGGCATTTGAGTGCTTATTTGGCTCTGCCCCCAGCTCCCTTCTAGCTATGAAACACCAAGTCAACCTTTGATTTTTCCTCAGACCCAGACAGCAGGCAGGTTCACATTTCTTTTTCTTTTTTAATGTTTTATTGTTTATGCTATTACACTTGTCCTATTTTTTTCTCTCCCTTTGCTCCCCTCCACCAGGTCCACCCTCCATTTCCATAGTCAATTCCCACACCATTGTCCATTTCCATGGGTCCTTCATATATGTTCTTTGACTAATCCCTTCACCTTCTTTCAACCAGTCCCCACTTCATTCATTCCCTCTTACCACGGTCATTATATCACATGATTCTATGCCTTTAGTTCTATTTTGCTCATTTGTTTGTTTTGTTCATTATGTTTGTGTTATGAGACCATATGGTATTTGCCTTTCACTCCCTTATTTCATTTAGTGTAATAGTCTCCGATTCCATCCATGCTGTTGCAAAAATCAGGAATTCCTTTTCTTTTTTTCTGCTGCATAATATTCCATTGCATAAATGTACCACAGTTTTTTTATCCACTCATCTACTGATGGCCACTTAGGCTGTTTCCAATTGTTCACTATTGTAAATAGTGCCACTATGAACATAGGGATGCATAAATAGTTTTAAACTGGTGTTTTAGGATTCTTAAGGCATATTCCAAGGAGTGAAACTGGTGGGTCAAAAGGTAGCTCATTCTTTATTTTTTGAGGAAATTCCATACTATTTTCCATACTGGTTGCACTAATCTGCATTCCCACCAAGAGTACACTAGGGTTCCTTTTTCTCCACACCTTTGCCAGCACTTGTTTATTAATTTATTAATAATAGCCATTTTGGCAGGTGTGAAGTGATATTTCACTGTGGTTTTAATTTACATCTCTCTGATGGCTAGAGATACTGAGCTTTTTTTCTTATATGTGTGTGCCATTTGTATGTCCCCCTTGGAGGAAGTATCTATTCAGGTCTTTTGCCCATTTTTTAATTGGATTGTTTGTTTTCCTGGTGTTGAGTCTTATGAGTTCTTTATGTATTTTAGAAACTAATCCCTTGTTCGATGTATCATTGGAAAATCTGTTTTCCCATAAAGTCAGTTCCCTTTCCATTTTGATGATGGTTTCTTTAGCTGCACAGAAGCTTTTTAATTTGATGTAGTCTCATTTCTTCATTTTTTCATATATTAAAAACAATGGAACACTTCATGAATGTGTGTGTCATCCTTGTGCAGGGGCCATCCTAATCTTCTCTGTATCATTCCCATTTTAGTATAAAAGGTCTGTCCAGAAGGTATTAATGGGACAATAATGCCTCAGTCCCCTTCAAAGTAGGCAGCTTGGGACCTCACACAGGTCTCCAATAGCCATCAGATGCCCCATTGCATTTTCCTGAATCTCATCAATGGTCTGAAATCTCTTCTATTTCAAAGGTGGTTTTAGTTTTTGGAAAAGCCAGAAGTCACAGGGCACCAAATCTGGTGTAGGGGGCTGAGTTGGGTAATTTGATGTTTCATCACAAAACCCTGCATGAGACATGATACATGAGTGGGCATGTTGTCATGATGAAACTGCCAATCAGCCATTGCCTAAAGCGGTGGCCTTCTGAATCATCTGAATAGTTTTTGAAGAGGAATGTTGAACCTTAATGCAAAATTTGATGCAGATTCATTGCTTAACTCAGTCATTTTGAATGCAAGGGCCACACAGTTTATATGCTCACTCAATGGCATCAACCACCCCCACTAACTAGTACAGTGAAGTCATCATTGTTCACACATGCCCATTCTAGTCTACTCTCTCTGGTTGCCAGGTTACATCAGTGTTGCACAAACCATTTTCATTATTTCAACAATGGTTGGACTTTTTCCAAACAGACCTTGTGTGTGCTGCCAAAGTGAGCACAGGTTTGTATTTAAAAAGCTGCACCAATCCCTTCAAGTCTATGCATGAGGACTTGGTGAAGAATGTCACAAACCCTCTCACCATTTTTTCCCTATATTTTTGGAAAACATTGTATAGAAGTAATTGTACAGACATAACTATAAAAGTTCATTAAAAGTGTGCAGATATATACATTTTCACAAACTAAGCACATTCAGTCAAATAGTGGACGATCTGGGAATATTATGAGCTTCAGAAAGCTGCTTCTTGGTCCCTGCTGTAATCACCATTAACTTTTCAAAAGTAACTGAGACAGTCTGAGCGTCTCTTAGATGGACGGGAACATCCTTCAAGTTAATTTTTGCGCCTCTCCTAGATAACATTGGGTTTCCCTTTGGGTACTCCCAAACCAATGTGCATGTGCCAGTCAATGCCAACCCACTATGGAAACTTTGTCAGTGCTGAGAAACCCAGCTCTGTATAAGCCAGGAAACCCAGGAGCAGTTCCGGGAGCCTTATGTTCTGTCGGTGTGTGCTCCCTTGATGCATGAGGCTCCCTTCCTCTCCCTTTCTTCTTACCCTGGTTTTAGTAAATCTCTTCTCTTCTAAATCTGTTTCATCTCTTCTCTTGATTTTTATCCTGAAGGGTAACAAGAACCCCTTTGCTGGTGATAGAGCTACTACTGTGATTTCTAACTCTATAGAAAAATTTTGCTTGTTTCAGAACTTAAGTGGAATAAGACAGTACTGTACTCTTTTGTGACTTGTACTCAATATTATGTTTCTGTTGTATAATTTTGTTCTTGTAAAATTTGTTTATTCTTAATCCATACATAATTTCATTTTATTAAAATGTCTCAAATTATTTATCCACTTTAGTTTTGGTGGGCATTTATGTAGATCCAGTTTTTGTATATTATGTATAGCATGGCTGTAACATTCTCTATGTGTTTTGGTGAGCATATAAATGCAATTCTGATAGATTAGAGAAAAAAAAACTTCTAGTTCACAGGCTGGCATACTGCTTAAGAGGTTTTTTCCAAAGTGGTTGTTCCAATTCATAATCCTATCAGCAGTATATTATCTGCGTATCTTCATAAACACTCAATGGAAAAACCAGAAGCAGATGTGCTAAGAATGTATGCATGAATGTGTATATGTATGAATGCATAGATCTATGTTTCCATTTCTATTTTTATCTATATTTAATATATATACAGGCCTTGTGTAGAGTCTGACCTTACCATGTGTGTTGTGGAATATGATTAAGCAGTTTCTGTTTACCGCTGTCTTACCATGTGATGCTGAAGCCCGGTGCCGTGGCTGTCTTGCACTTGCTGGGGCCTCTGTCATAAAGTAAACACACTCACTTGTCCCAATAATCACAGAAGTTGAAGGAGAATCCATTGGAAAGTTGAGTATTTGCAGGCCAATAACTGCTTTATGATATCAAGGTGAATCAACAGATCAATGGCTATGTGTGTGTGTGTGTGAAATGGCTATTGCTTCATATCCAACCTAGAAGTCTCACTCAGGAAGTTCTCTTACGGCCCACCTTTTCCATAAACAAACACAAAATTGAAATCTGAGAGATAGGTTTCAACAGAGACTAGGTGACATACTACAAAGCTGTAAAATTTGCTATTGTCACCATTTTTATTTTAGCCATTCTCAGTGTGCGATTATATAAAATTGTGATTGCTTATTCTCTACATGTTTTTTTGTCTTTCTTGCTTTAATTTTTTTTACATATTTGTAGTTCTTTCCATATTTATATATCTATCTCATTCTCTTTTTAAAAATGTATATGCTAGCCAATATTTCTCTCATTCTGTATACTGACTTATGCTTTCAGTAGTTTCTTTTGATTAATAGAAACTTTTCATTTTAATGAAGTTAAATTTATCAATTTTTTTCTTTTCTGTTTTGCCCATTTTCTTCCATTTAAGAAGACTTGCCTACTCAACACTGTTTGCCAAAAAATACAATTTTTTTTATTAATTTCTTTCACATAGTAATATGGATTCAAGGTTCCTCCATGGCTTTTCATGGCTTAAAAGCTCATTTATTTTCAGCACTGAATACTATGCCATTGTCTGAATGTAACAGTTCATTCATTCATTCACCTAATGAAGGACATCTTAGTTGCTTCCAAATTTTGAAAATCATGGATAAAGCCACTATAAACATCTGTGTTCAGGTTTTTATAACTTTTGAATTCATTTCAGTAAATACCAATGAGCTCAGTTCCTGAATCATATAGTAAGACAATGTTTAGTTTTGTATCATTGTTATCGATATAATTAATAAAAAAACTTCTACATGATTCAGTTGTTAATATAATATTTTAATTCTGAAAAAACCTTGCAAAAACAAACAAAAATATGTGGCATGTTTTTCTGTATTCTTTGCAATTAAAGATCCAAGATGAACAAAAAATCTTTGATAATAGTTTTAATAGCATTAGGTAATATTATATATCACAACCACGTACTGCTTAAGTGCTATCATTGTTCAGAAAGGTAGAGGAACCAAAACTTACTGGTGATATCATTCAAGGATCACTTTATAGATCCAGAAAATAAGCAGATTTTTTTCACAAGAATTTAAATGAATTATTAAAAATTTCAGACAGGCTTCAATTGCTTAAAAAAACTCACAGATGTCAACATGACATGACTTATGAATCTATGAATTTTTGGTTTCATTCTGAGAAGGACACAATACAGTGACAGAATTAAAGTATGATATGCAATGCAGACAAAGTCTACCTCATGGCAATATTCAAAAAGGCTGGATGAGTTTGGTTTTAATTTACTTCCCTCTGCAGTGTCAGGGCAGATATTCTTTCTCTCTAAGATCAGGAATTACCTACACCTGTGCAGAACACCACAGACCCAGAATCTGCCATATTGACTGGGGCTTCTTATATTCTTCTGTTCCCCCAAGGCACAGGATTACTACATGAAAATTTCCAAGGGAAGATAAGAGAAAGGTTGGGGGCGGAAGTTGTCATTTATCCCTCTACAAATCTATGTTATTTAAATCATTTTTTCTTCCTCTTAGCATATCATAAGTTACCTGCATACACAAATACTAAAAAGTTGAGGAGAACACATGAGGCATAGAGGGCAGTATACACAAGCTCAGAGAAGTTTAACCTTCAATGTCTATGCCAAGAAGTGCAACAGTTCTGGTACCATTAGAGGATACATTTCAAAATGGAGCTCTGCTACAAGATGGGGGTTAGGTGAGAACCAAGTCTCAGAGACTCTTGCTGAGTTGCTTAGGCTCCACCTTATAAGTAATGAAGAGTGATTTTTGGATCCTAGGAAAAGGAGAGAGAATGACACAAAAAGTTTACACTTTCAAATTGAGTCAACCAGATAATTACTAGGAGCTGTTGGGGAAAATGACGAAATGGCAGATGCCTAGAGGGATTAAGAATGGGGACAAGGAAGTTACTGAAACAGTCCAGGTGAGAAATTATTAGGACCTGAATATGGCAATGAGAGTAAATAGAGATGAATACAGTGTTGAGTGTGCTGGATGTATCTTTTAAATTAAATGTATTGGGGTGACATTAGTTCACAGGATGGATGTATTTTTGAAGACTGTGTATAACCAATGATATGTTGAGCAGGTGGTCTCAAGTGAAATGTGAAGTTCAAGATTAGAAATCAAGACATAAGCATGTTCTGGCTCACATGTCACTAAGGTCATTTGTAGAGTAAATGAAGTCCCCCAGGAGAGCACTAGAAAAAGAAGAGCAGTGAAATCAGGGCAGAACCCTGGGAAGCACCAATTAATTGTGCTTAGCTGAGGAAGTGGCACCCCTTGAAATGGGACAGTGAGAGAGCAGAGAGGAAGAAAACCAGGGAATGGAAGTATAATAAAAACTAACAATTAATAGTATACAAAATAACATTCCAGGAATACTTTGAAAATTAATAAGCTTATAAATATTTCTGTTAGGCAGTTAGAGTTCTTAGTGACTTGCTATATCATGATTTTACATTTTTTTGTGACCACAATCTAAATGGAAGAGTTTAATAACTAATTAAAACCTTGATATTTACCTCAGTAAACTTCTACCAGAAAGCTACATTTTAATGGAATCATTGGATAAAAGGAATATAAATTGCTAGATTACACTTCGTTTGAACAAGTACAGGGGGTATGATTGCTGCCTAAATGTTAAAATAAGTAAACATATGGATTCTCTACCTACTTTAACCAAAAGGTAAACTTTCCCAGAGGACGGTGTCTAGAATTAACAAGACAAACTAATTAAATTTAATTAAGTCAACCTGCATGAGATACTTTGCATAATTGATTTTGATTTTGAAGTGCCCCTAAGGGAGATAGTATTTGTGTATTTTTGAATAAAACTTCAGTGAGTAAAGAGAGGAAAA